GCGCCAACGAACTCACCCCAACTTTCGCAAAATTATTCAATTTGTCTTACAGGCAAGGAGTATATCCATCATCATGGAAGTCTGCCGCAGTACAACCCATTCCAAAGAAAGGAAAAATACAAATCCGTTAAACTATAGACCAATTGCTCTACTTCCGGTGATATCAAAAGTAATGGAAAGAGTTGTGAACAATCACCTAACCAAGTACTTGGAAAAGTACAAAATTATCAACGATAAGCAATACGAATTTCGAAAATATAGGTCAACTGGCGATTTACTTACATACGTCACTCACTTATGGCAAAAAGCGATTGAGTTGCGGGGTGAAACAAGAACAATTGCCTTAGATATATCTAAAGCATTCGACAAAGTTTGGCATGAAAATCTGCTCAACAAGCTCAAAGCAATGGGATTATCGCCGAAACTTTGCACTTGGTTTGAAAGTTACCTAAAGGACAGATCCATTTATGTTGCACTGGATGGCCAGAACTCCAACTCTTACCAAATAAATGCTGGTGTGCCACAGGGAGCAATCCTTTCGCCAACTCTTTTTCTGATTTACATAAATGACCTCATAGATAAAACAGTAAATCCACTTTATTGCTTTGCAGACGATGGCAATGTAGTCTCCTCACTCATACCACCCACAGGTCTTTCCGCACGTGAATTCCATCATCTTAGACTAACTCAAATATCGCAGATAAATAACGACCTGGAGATAATAGAGGACTGGGGTAACAAAAACCTTGTACAGTTCAACGCGCAGAAAACCCAAGCAGCTCTATTTTCAAAAAAGACCATCACCGGTGACCCAAACATCATGCTATCTGGAAGTGCTGTCACATTACAGAGTCAGTTGAACATCTTGGGGGTTACTGCAGAGACCAACATGTCTTGGCACAGTCACGTGGCAGATATTGCTAAAAGGGCGTCCCAAAAGCTGGGGGTGCTATTTCGTACAAGAACTCTGTACACACCAAGCCAATTGCTGACACTCTACAAAGCCCAGATTCGACCAACTATGGAGTACTGCTCACATATATGGAGTGCAGCACCCAAACATACCTTAATGCTTTTGAACACCGTGCAAAAACGAGCTATCAAGCTGATCAATGACCCCGCACTTACTCGTAACTTGGATGGTCTCGAACATCGCAGATCTGTGGGCGATTTATCTCTCTTCTACAGGTACTATCACGGAAAATGCTCTGAAGAGTTGGCACGTATGATTCCACCGAGAGTAGCGTCTACCAGGCGAACTCGTCAAACAGACGGTAACCATGAATTTACTGTCAAACTAGAGGCACCAAGAACCTCATTATATCAGAATTCATATCTCTGGAGAATAGCATCGCTGTGGAATAAACTCCCTGCGACGGTTTTCCCTGCAGGTTACAACCTGAACCGTTTCAAGACCAACATACACCGACATTTCCGCGCACTTGCCGCTTCTCGAGCGTGATCGGACATTTCCTTGCGAGTGCGCATATCCGTAAAAAAAAAAAAAAAAAAGATAATTATAGAAGACATTAGAAAAATATTCAAAGAAACATTCAGCTGTCATCCAGCCACTTTCACTTTTTCCTAGGCCCCAACCCTTTGGAGCTGATTGGAAGAAAGATAAATTTGGGTAACCTATCGTATTTGAATAAGGTCAGAGGTGGTGCAAATTTTCCTACAGCACTGACTGCAAAAAGGGTGGTAACATTTTCCTTATCAGACGATGTCCTTTCATCGTAAACATGCGTGCCTCGAGGACCGAGAACAATTCCACTTTTTGGTGCTAAAGGAAACCCTGAAAAATAAAAAACCAAATTTTTGATAGAATAGAATTTTCAAGAGAATTTTCTATTTTTTCATTGCTCACCACTTTCGTCCATATTGAATATCCTCTCTGGATCTTCAAGAATATCAAGTGCTTGGACTGATTCCAAATATTGATTAACTTCAGCGAACCAGGCCCGGATTTTCTCCTCTGTTACTGCACCTCTGCCACCATGAATATATTCGGGTTTCTTCTGTGAAAGTTCTCTGTGCCGTGCTAAGAATACATAGTACCATTTTTTTCCAGGTCGGTTGTTAGGAAAAGGAGTTTTAATGTTAAGTTCTGTAACAATTTTTTGTACAGATGTCAACAATCCATCTTTGTCTATGGGAAAGCCCATTTTTGCACAGTCCAAAATCCACTGAACCAATGACTGTTCCAAGTCCTTACCGAGGAATGAATAAAATCCACATTTTCCTGTGGAATCCCGTGGAGATTTACCGCTGATTTTATTCCTCAGAGTAGTACGAGGTACATTAAATTTTGAGCTGGCCGTTGACACCGGCATTCCTTCGGTAATGGCGGCTAATGCTAAATTGATTTTCGCTGGAGAATACTGGAATTTATGGGTTTTTTGAATTCTTGTTTTTTGGGTTGTTTTTGCCCGGAAAAAATATATAATGAAAATAGTGCTAAGAAAAAGTAATGGCCAAAAGTGAATTTGACTTTGCTACTTTTGGCCAGACGTGGCCAAAAGTGAATATGACTTTTCTACTTTTGGCCAGGTGCATGGCCAAAAGTAGGGAAATGTCAAAAATAGGTTTCTACTAATGGCCAGTACATTTGAAAAAACAAAAACATTTCAAATGGTTGCCTTACGTTAAAAATATAAATGCTAAGTCAATCTACTTACCTCCATCCAACACAAAACACTTTCAAAATTAGAAAAACTCTATTTTCAACCTCTTCGGAAGTTTTTTAAAGAAAATCTTAAGGAGAACTACCACACAGGCACATATGTGACTTCCAGAATTATAATAAATCAAATATGGCTATTTCAACCGCGAAATGAGGTTTACCCCACTCCTAAAGCATCATTGAGCAGATCTCGGCGGGAAATTTGAATCGATTTGAAATTTATTGCTTAATATTTGCAAGAAACCGGGCAGCCGGCCATAAGTGGGGTAGTGGCCATAGGTGGTGCCTCTGCCCTATAAAAACCAAAGGTAATTTTACTGGAATAGAATTAAAATCTTATTCCTGGTTCTCCTAAAGCCAAAAATATACCAGAGAAGTTCGATCTGATTATTTTAGAGCAACAGGTTAATCTAGAGAGATCCTTTTTATCTTCTGTGGAGCAAAATTCAATTAAAAAAGTGTGAAAACCAAGGGGTGAACCACCACAAATTCAGCAGAAATCCCGCGAAATCCTTCAAAACCCCCAGGAAATCTGCGTGCAAACTTGAAAATCGATGCGCAATCTCGCGAAATCTTTGCGAAATCCTGCGCAATCTCGCGAAATCTGTGCGAAATTCTACGTTAGCAGCAAGAAATCCATTCAAGAAATGTGCAGTAGCATTTCTTGACATATGAGAATTTTACAATTCTTAAACCACTCAACTATTGACTATATGACAATATCCTCTTTATAAACAATATAAAAAGCAATGGCCCAAGTTTACTACCCTGTGGGACTCCTGAGGTTGATATCACTTAATATAATCACTAGAGAAACAATCATGTATCTTAACACTATTCCTTCTCCCCATCAAATAGGATTTCAGCAAATTGCAAGCCTTTCTTGAGAACCCAAACTCAACAAATCTATTTAAGAGAACACAGTGATTCACATTATCAAATGCCTTCTCACAATCTGTGTACAGTACATCCAACTGCCCCCCTGCCCTGCCTCAACAGCCTTTGAAATTTGCTCAGAGAGTATACACATAGTTGATAAAGTGGATTTATCCTTCACAAAACTATGCTGAAATCTGCTGATTTTATGTTTTACACATTCATATATTTTCCCATAAAGAATGTTTCTGAAGATTGTACCCAAGCTGTTCAACAAACTAATAGGCCTATAATTTAGAATGTCATTCTTTCCATCTTTTTTATGAATTGGAGAAATAGTTGACAATTTTAACATATCTGCAAAGCATTCCTGCTCAACTGACATACCAAAAAGATAAGCCAAGGGTTCTGCCAATAGTTCTGCACATTCCTTATACAGGGTGTAAAAAAAAATAGTGTACCAGACATCGAGGGGTGATACTACATATGAAATTAAGAATGAAAGTTTCTATGAACATATGCCCTGAGATGCTTTTTTCTTTTGTGAGTAACTGCTTTCTACCTTTATGAAAACTACATTTTCAGAACTGTTACATCTAAATGTATACAAGAATACCAAATTTCAAGAAACATAGTTTGCCACTGTTGTAGATGAAAATTTGAAGGGCTGTAACTTCTTCAGAGAGCATCTTAGGGCATATGTTCATAGGAACTTTTTTTCTTATTTTCATAAGTAGTATCACCCCTCCGGTAGACTTTTTTTTTACACCCTGTATAAGATGGTATTTCTCGTGGCCAGTGGATTTCTTGGGTTTGTTTTCCTATACCACTGATTACATCACTCTTAGTGATGTTTCCAAAGTCAAAAGTGCCCCATTCTTTATTTTTATAATGATAATTAGAGAGATTTGAAAAATCACCACCAGTTTGATCACTTCCAACTGATGGTCACTCAAATCTTCATGTAGGTACCTATTTAAAAGAATAAAAAAATTATCAGTAATAATATTTGCATGCGCCAGCAATGTCAAAAATGTTATTTCCGACGATATTTCCAACATATACCACTTCGCAATCATGAGAAATTCTTTGCAGTCATGCAAAATCCTGCGAAATCATACAAAATTCCTCAAAATCAAGCGAAATCCCTTACATTTTTGCGAAATCATGTGAAATTTTGCGTAATTCCGCGCAATCATGCGAAATCCCGCGCAATTATGTAAAATCCCCCATTTTTCGCAATCTTGTCACATTTTCACCCTAGTGTTTCACCCCTTGGTGAAAACTTAGTTTCCAGCTTTTAAATTTCAAGATTTTGATCATACCAGGGTGAAAATTAAAGTTAATTCAACTGGAATAGCATCAAAATTTTGGAATTTTACCATTTCATATACCTAATAATAAATTAAAACACAAATTATTAAGTATCATTCTCTTGTAGGTGACATCGGAATCAGCACCGGAACCAGCAATAAAACCCAACTTCATATCGACCTTTTGCCTGGCAATCGACCAAGGAAGTAAACTAGGCCTGGGCAAAACCAACACCTTAATTTGCACTTATTCCCAATATCAAATAGTCCAGATGAATAAGCACCCGTTGGTTGTAACTTTTGTAGCGAACCAGCAATGCAACCTCGGACAAATTCTGGCTTTGGAAGCGCAAATCGACCCTATTGCTTCTTCTTTAGCTTTAACCGTTACAGAAATTTAGTTGTTTATAAATAAATATATTATTTTTTTACTATAATGAGTCTAGTTAATGAAATCCTTCAACCAAATCACTATATGGTCCACAATTCCTTTAATGATCTTGTCAGGCGACATTCTACATTTGGTTCATTTGAAAAATGTACATTTTTATTGTAACATTAATAAATCTTTTCGCTATCAACACATGCCTGGAAGATGTTTGTGTTGATGTCAATGATATACTGGCCCCCCAATGGATGCCTGGTACTTTATTGGAAAATCTCGCTGCAAGCCCCAATAATAAAACAAATTCATTAGATGGTACAATTAATACTGCTTTAGGCACCATGATTTTTCACAGGTAATTTCATTATCAAACATGCACAAAACACAAAACAATTATTATTTGTAGATCAATGATGAATCAATACAAATGCAGGAATTACGTGGCCAATCAAATAATAGCAAAAATGAGCAAAAAAACTGTCCAAAAAAGAATGAGTGTCGACGAAAAACCAAAACCCAACAACATGTTGCTTGACGAAGGTTCCACCTCTTACGAGAATTGGTTGCAAAAGTAAATAACACACTATCTTATATAAATATGTATATTGATTATTTGTAGGACATCAACTTTGGACGATATTTATAGGCACCATCACAATCAAATCAACAATTTGGCGGAACCGCTGGATAAAAGCCACCCTCCAGATTACCATGGGGTACCAGAATATATGTATTATGAGACTCATTATAAGCCGCCACCGGTTTACAAGTACCAAACGAAATATGTGGAGAAAAAGTATAAGAAGAGCGACATTTTTGAAATTGCTCTTACGGCTTTGGCGTTTTTGTCTTTTGGGTTGTTTATTATTCATTTGATTATGTCTATCAGTGCTGTGGTGAGTTTAGATTTTATTTCAATTTCGAAACTCCTTCTAAAAAAAAAAACAATTTTTTCACTCAAAAACTAAAGCGAGTGGAAAGTTGAAATTTTTAGGACTTTTTCCTAATGATTCAATGTAAAAAATACTAAAAACTCAAAGCGATTGAGTTATTATTAATGGAGTTACAATTTTTTGAAAATAATGATGTTTTGTAATGTAAGACTTTACAAACAATTTTTTCACTTAAAAACTAAAGCGAGTGGAAAGTTGAAATTTTGAGGACTTTTCTACATAAAATATGTCAGTCTTTATTATTTGTAATTAGATGAACACTACGACAACAACTCCAAGCAACAGGATTGTGGCTTTAAATTTTCCTTTTTCGGCCATGAATGCAGGTAAGAGTGAATGAATGAGTTCAATGGATAGATAACATTTTTTTTTTGTAGAAGTAGATGAACTTGAATCAGCAACAATACATTCTTTTATAGATTCATCCGAAGAATTTAAATACAGGCAAGTATTTGGTTTTCAGGGCCTGTTAAATGTTTCAAAAGGACTTTGCAGTAATCTTTGGTATTTTAAAATTTCAAAATTGACCCAAAAAGAGTATTTTGGGACTCCAGAAATTTCATACAGTGATTCATAGTGGAATTTGACGCCGTCATGTTTGAAAAAAAGAGAGGTGGAAAAATTGTAAAATTCACAAATTCACACTACTTTCCTGGCGCTTGAGTGAGCTTGTATGTAATTTTTGTATCTGGAATAAGCAAGTAGGATAAAGAAATTAACATAAGAAACTTAAAGACCAAGAAAAAGACAGACATAAGGGTTATCTTGAAATAATAAAAAGACAACAGTATATGAAACTTAATAAATAAGAAATAAACAGAAACAAACATACACATAAGCTCTCAAGCAAAAGCCAAGAATAATAATTAAAATTCGTATCACATTTTCTCTCTTCCCAGTCCAAATGAATTCAAATTTTTGGCAATCGTACCCCCTCTACTAGCATAAGATACATCTATGATACAATTTTCTCATTAAAGGTCCTTAAACGATCCTCCAATAAAAGCAACCCCAAACCAATTAGCCAAAAAAATCCTTCGCGTTCTCGATTCAGCCCTAACAGCTGAAAAAAATCAAGGACAATGTTTCAAAAATCATTTGTGCAATGCCAGCAAACATTCTAGATCAATACAAGGAAAAGGAAAACTCTTGATGACTCTATGGAGGTAAATATAAAATATAATTTCACATTTTTTTTACACTAATGATAATTATTCTAGCTTGGGAACCAGTTGGCTATCAGATTACTTATCAGACAATATCGTTCCAAAAACGCAAAGTCTAGAAGCCATAGTTCTAGGCCTTGGTATGGCCAAATGTGAAATGATTTACTCAAAATGTTAGTTATTTTTGGACATTTCCTCTAAATAAATTTTATTTTGTACAAAATTCCTTACAGTTCTAAGCTGGCTTTCCCAATCGTTAAAGTACCACTGATCGAAACTTTCAACAGTTTCAAAACTCAAACCATTCTGCCACAAATTATTACTGCAATGCTGATAATATCCTTCATAACTTGTCAGAGGTTGTGTTTTTGGTTTGGCTGCAACATAATTTAAGGGTTCAACAGGCACCCATTCCATGAAATTATTTTCTTTTATTTCTATTTGTTTTTCTATTTCAAAATCATAATCTTCATTGGGGGAGTCAGCTTGCGTTTGAGCCTCATCATCATCATCATAATCATCAGATAGCATGGTTTTTTGTTTTTCGGATAACAAATTTTGCCATTTTTGAGCTCCTTCATCAATTTGGGACTTAAATGCCAATGAAAATATATTTTCCATTACTTGTGGGTTTTCTGAAGGCTCGTTTACTTTTAATATCTCAACATCCTCTCTTTCTGCTTTCAAATAAGCAGACATTTGGTTGAAATCCTCATTTGAAACTTCAACATTGCTTAGCATTTTGGCTACACCCACAAGGGCTTTGTTTTTAGCATAAGTGTCCTCAGGTTGTTTTGTGTCCAATAAGGCCCCTTCGTTTGCTAATTGCTGCAACATTAAAATGGCATCTTCATTTTCAGGCTCCCCTTCATTTGCCAATTGCTGCAACAGCAAAATGGCATCTTTATTTTCAGGCTCTGGAGTTTTCAATTTAACAGATGATGTTTTGCTATCATTCTTCTCACAAAAGCTGTTTCTAATTTCACTTATTTTAGAATTATAGGCATTGAAATCTTTAAGCTCCTCGCCTACTTGGCCAAACAAATAATCAGCTTCATTGTTGCTTAAATTAAAACTTTCATCCACAATTGGTATGGATAAAGTTTCCCCACCAATAACCCCTAAGATGTTTTGCAATAATTGAGATTCTTGGCCTTTAAAGGCAATATTTATGCAATTTCCTGTCGAGCCGTACCTACCTGCCCTGCCCATTCTATGAAGGTAAGTTGTAGCGTTTATGGGCACATCATAATTGATTACTAAATCGACATTTGGTGCGTCTATACCTCGCGCAGTCAAATCTGTAGTTACTAAAATCTTTTTTTTGAATTCTTTCAAATCGGACAAAGAGTGAAGCCTGGTGGTTTGGTTTTGAGCAGCAGACATAAATATAGAACTCCAATTGTTGCGGTTTAAAAAGTTGCTAACGCTTTCAGCCCTGGTTTGGTAATTTGAAAATATTAAGCATTGAATAAATGGTATGGCTGATAGAATTTTCAATAACTCATCGTTTTTTAATTTGGTTTGTTGCACAACATTGAGGGTTGATTTCAGTAGCCTTACGTAATGTTTTAGGCCTAAAAGTAAAGGCGTTTCTAGTTCAACACTAACAGTTACAGGACTAAGCATGTATTGTTCCAGAAATGTTTGCATTTGTTCTGGATATGTGGCACTGCACATGATTATTTGTTTGTGGCTAGGCAAGGTATTGTAAATATCGTTTATATCGTTTTGAAAGCTTTCTTCCATTAATTTATCGGCTTCGTCTAAAACAAAAATCTTAACTCCTTCAACTGATAAAAGGTTTTCTTTTATTAGTTGTTTCAATCTGCCTGGGGTGCCTACAGCAATGTGACAAAGTTTGCATTTGGATTTGTCGCCTGCTAAAGGTAGGCCGCCAATGAAACTTTCAACTGCAAGGCCTAAATAAATAAAAAATAATGTAAAAATAGTTTTAGCAATAATTTTGTAAGCTCACCTTCATAATATTTGCCAATGCTTAGAATGACTTCTTGGATTTGGACTGCTATTTCTCTTGTTGGGGCTACAATAAGGACCTGAGGGTCGGGTTTGTCCAATTTTATCGATTCCAAGGATATAATGCCGAAAACCAGAGTCTTGCCTGTGCCCGATTTTGATTTTACCATTAAATCTGTAAATTAAAGATTTTGGAATAAGAATCCAAAAATTCTTGTAACTTTGCAATTTTCCGTTCAATTGATTTGAATTTTTTAGTATGTTTTGCCTATGAGCCTCAAAAATATTTCCTCAAAATCTCATATTTGCTCCATAAGTGCCTTTTTTCATAGATTTCGGCTTCAAAATCTGGGAATAACTTGGTCTATGGAGTTCAGGGTATCCCAAGTGATAATTAGGACACAAAATCTCAACAAAAAAAAAATTTGGAATTTCATCGTTTTAGGGTTTTAGTAAGAAGGTAGCGGAAGGTAGCTATCCTATGATTTAGATTTTGGAAAACTTTGAAAGCTCATAACCTTTTTTCTATTATAGATAGAAAGCTGAAATTTTCAGCGATTCTTATTCCAATAGAGGATTTCAATCCTTGAAAATTTCAACTCATTTGGACTTATAGTTCCTGAGATAAAACCGTGTTAAGCAATTTGGGGTGATTTATCAATTTTTCAAGTTTTCTGAGTACCTTTTTTCATAGATTTCGGATTCAAATCTGGGATTAACTTGGTGTATGGAGTTCGGGGTATCCTAAGTGATCATTAGGACACAAAATCTCAACAAAAAAAAAATGGAAATTTCATCGTTTTAGTAAGAAGCGAGGTAAGAAGGTAGCTGGAGAAAGCTGAAATTTTCAGCGATTCTTATTCCAATAGAGGACTACTTTTGCAAGCAAAACTCGAAGCAAAATAATTAAAATCGCATAAAAACACACATTCAAAATAAACTCGCTATATTGAATTTTCTTTGCCTCTAAGCGTCAAAAATATTCCCTGAAAATCTCATATTTGCGGCTCAAGTAGTTTTTGAGTAAATAGTCAAAATGTAAAGGCATGTCATATTAGGTCTTATAGAAAAAAAAAAAATATTAAACTACTCCAAACGAATAAAGACCATTTTTAAGAGCACCTTGGTTTCTATTAAATTTTGAATAACCCTGGTAAAGTGAATATTTCCATTTACAATAAAGATAAACAATTAAAGTGTGCACAAAAAAATTATATTGTGAATGGAAATAAACACTTTACCAGGATTATTCAAAATTCAATAAAAATAAAGGCGTTTTTAAAAGTGGTCCTTATTTCTTCTAAATGACTGTTTTTGGCCGCAAAATGTTATTTCTAGGCCATTCACCTTTAGAAAAAGACAACAAAAACAAAATTTTCAGTTGACCCAACCTCCCAACAACCTAAGGGAGCTCTAACATTCTATTACCAAAATAATAAGGACCAAAATCAATGATCTCATGTGTAATGTACTCGTGGAGGATTTCGATGTGATATTGCTGACAGAAACATTTCTGGATTGTGAGATAATGAGCAGCGAATTGGGGTTGGAGGGCTATCAGGTTTATAGGTGTGACAGATCCATAAAAACCAGTGCATGTAAAACTCAGGGTGGCGTACTAATAGCAGTCAAGAGTTGTCTTTCATCTAGAATTATGCCAACGCCTATTGAAAATGTGGAACACTTATTTGTACTGATTACAATTGGGACACAGCGAATTTTGGTCGGAAACACTTATATTCCAGGAACTTCACAGCTTGACACTTATGAAAGCTTTTGTTTCTCATTGATCCATCTTATTGAGAATAACAATTTCACTAACATTTTCGTTTGGGGTGACTTTAATCTTGCCAATATAAAATGGGAGAAAACTGCGGATGGTTCTGTTCCTGTGGGCCAACTTTCCAAAGAAGCAACATCCATAGCTGATTGTACTGCATATTTATGTTTGTTCCAAATGATAGACGTTCCTAATATATATGGGAATTATCTTGATCTTTTATTCTGTGATACGTGTAATGTGAAGGTTGCCTTATGCAATAATCCCATGTTAAAGTTGGATGTGCCACACCCTGCTTTTGAATGTTCATTCGTCCTGTCTCAAAAACCGTCAAATCTCTCTTGTGACTACTTGTATTTTAATTTTAAGCATTCTGATTTTAACGAAATTAATTTGTATCTTTCCTATGCCAGTTGGGATGATATTTTTGAGTCAACAGATGTAAATATTGTGGTTTCCAGGTTTTATGAGATCACATATGGTGCTGTTTCCAAAATGGATGCCAAACAATCAGAAAAACTTGATTGTTCAGAAAAAAATTGCACATAAAAAATATAAATCCACACAATCTCAAGATGACTATGATCATTTTGCTGGTCTAAGAGCTGAGTGCCGTTCTATCTCTCGATCTTCGCATAAAAACTATATTAGAGATCTAGAGAATCAATTACATGATAGACGTACCTTTTGGAATTATGTCAATTCCAAGAAGGATAGTGTAGAGTTTCCTGAATGTATGTCCTTTAATGGCCATGAATCTGATAGTGGTCAAGAGATAGCTGAAATGTTTAAATTGCACTTTTCGTCTGTGTACTCAAATTTTAGTAGCCCATTGGCGGGATCGAATTTTAATTGTGATAAATGTCTAGATATAAGCTGTTTGAAATTGTCTACAATTGATGTGTTTAACAAAATTGATTTGCTAAAGAAAAACTTAGGTATGGGTCCTGATGGGATTCCTGTATCTCTGCTGCAAAATTGCAAATATGTTTTGTCCGAAGTTTTATGTAAAATATTTGATCACTCTTTGAGTTCAGGTGTTTTTCCAGATATATGGAAAAAATCTTATATTTCTCCTGTTTTTAAGGCGGGTAATAGGGCTGATGTTGAAAATTACAGGGCTATAAGTAAAGCTTCATTGATTGCAAGGATTTTTGAATCATTAGTAGCTGACAGATTGACTCCTCTTTTTAAGAATATTATAATCGATGAACAGCATAATTTTATGAAGGGAAGATCTACTTTGTCTAATCTTTTGACATATGAGCAAGCTCTGTTGGGTACCTTTGAGAATAAATATCAGGTTGATGCTATCTATACAGACTTCTCGAAGGCATTCGACAGAGTAGATCATAAGATTTTGCTATCAAAATTGGAGGCAGTGGGAGTTTATGGCTCTCTCCTGGATTGGTTTGGTAGTAACTTGACAGATCGCAGGCAAGCTGTTAGAATAAAAAATTATACATCATCAGAAATCATTGTAACATCAGGAGTACCTCAAGGGGGGCATCTGTCAGCGCTTCTGTTTAATATTTTTCTAAATGATATAAAAGTGATTTTTGATGTCTGCCAGTTTAAGGCTTTTGCTGATGATTTTAAATTTTTTAAGATTATAACTAATCCCACTGATTGTCAATCCTTGCAGGATCAGCTAAATTTGTTCTATTCTTGGTGCACTGAAAATAATATAACATTGAATATCAAGAAATGTAATGTTATCACATTTGGCAGAATAAAGCAGCCAATCATTTTTGACTATTCTGTTGGCTCTGTAGAGTTGGAAAGACAATCCTTGGTGAAAGATCTTACCGGTGTGAAGTTAGCACGCCGGCTCCAGCACGCCAAAGAATAAAGTGAGCACGCCAAAGTGTAAAAAGTTAGCACGCCGCTCGAGCACGTCAAAAAGTAAAGTTAGCACGCCGCTCAAGCATGCCAAAGTGTGAGTTGGCACGCCATTCTAGCACGCCGCAATTTTTTTCCTTTCATTCACGGTTCCTTTTTTATTATTTGTTCCTACAAACTTCATATGTGTCAAAAGTGTTTTTGTAAAAATTTGAAAATAACTGGTTTTTTCGATTTTTCTTCGTTCACTAGGTTGTATTCATAAAAAAAGCGTACACGAATTAGAGTGAGAGTATACCTGTACCATGTTAATCATATGACAAAACTCACCTCTCATTCTAATCCTTGTACGCTTTTTTTATGAATACAACTGTACCTAACAGAAAGGTCAAAACACAAACATCCCCTATGTATTTCGAAAAAGTGTCACTTCGCATATTGCTAGCCGTTTACGGAAACCATGATCAGGTTAACCTGATCACTAGTTGTTTGTTTTGTATTTTGTTTCAATGAATACGATTGAAAAAAGACAAAGTATGTCAGCTGGTGATCGGCTAACCCGATCATAGTTTCCGTAAACAGCTACAATCAATGCGCGAACCTTGTGACCCTGATCTCTCACTTGCTCAGTTTGCTGATGATAAGACATGCGTAATATCAAACAAAGATGAAAAAACGGCTGTTGATCTTGCGAATTCCACTGCACTGAAAATGCAGAATTGGTGTGATGAAAAGCATTTAATTTTGAACCAAACTAAAACAAATTTTATTCATTTCCAAAATAAAAAGAAAGATAAAACTACCACAACTCTTAATATTAATGGAACAAACATACAACAAGCAGAGGAAACGAAATTCCTAGGACTCACTATAACTAGGCTCTTGAACTGGCAGAGTCACGGAAGTGAGATCTGCAAGAAAATTACATCAGCCAACTTTGCAATTTATAATGTAAGAGACATCGTTGGCAGGAGATCTGTGATTCAGTTTTATTATGCCTATGTACATTCACGCATGGCTTATGGTATCCTCTTTTGGGGCTCCCATAAGGAAACCATGCAGAGAATATTTGTTGTTCAGAAGAGAATAATCAGGACTGCATGTTGTGCCCCTTATCAGGAGCACTGTGCCCCACTGTTCCGGAGACTGGGCATAATGACAGTCTACTCGTTATATATGTACAAAATATGCTGTTTCACTTATAAAAATCAAAACCTTTTTCGAAAAAACAATGACACAAACTCAAATAAGGAAACAAGAAATAATCAGAGCCTTATTACACCATTGCATAGGACCAAATTGTATGAAGATAGTCCCTACTATGTGTGTGTTAAGATTTACAATGCAGTGCCCGGCGAGGTGAAAAGGTCAGAGGTTTACGGGAAGTTCAAAAAGAAAATAAAACAATTTTTTACACAACATCCATTCTATTCAGTAAATGAATTTTTCGACCACACAAATAAATTAAATAGATATGGATATAACTGTGCTTACTGTTGATTCTCTTCACAAATTTTAAAACTGCATGTTGAGTGTGATTTTAATGGCCTACTAAGGAAAATAATGTAAATTAGGAAAATTTGTATTTCTTGTCTGTGTTTGAAAGAACTCTAGTATGGGTGTATGTATGGATATAGGTATATGTGTGTGTATGCTTATATTATATTGATTGTATTTTTATATTTTATATTTTTTAGTGACAAACTTATATTACTATGTAATCAAAAAAGGAATAAATGAATTGAATTGAATTGAATTGAATTGTTATTTTTTGACGTTTGTAGACAAAATTATATATTATCAGCCTAGTTTCGTTTTGAAACGTTTTTTTACAAATAATAAACCTTCCGATTCCTAAAAAAATTTTGAAAGACTTTGTTTCTGTTGAGCAAGCATCCCTCCAAATTTGAACGTGAAACACCATCTAGGAGTCTAAAGAAAAAATAAGAAAATATGAAATTTTCATTATTTTTCCATATAAGCGCTGATTTTCCTAAGTTCGACGGCTTGTAAGGAATTTTCCTTTTGAGGGATGATAAAGCATCCCTTGAGCAAGCATTCCTCCAAATTTGAACGTGAAACACCATCTAGGAGTCTGAAGAAAAGATAGGAAAATATGAAATTTTCATTCTTTTTCCATATAAGCGCTGATTTTTCTAAATTCGACGGCTTGTAAGGAATTTTCCTTTTGAGGGATGATAAAGCATCCCTTGAGCAAGCATCCCTCCAAATTTGAACGTGAAACACCATCTAGGAGTCTGAAGAAAAAATAGGAAAATATGAAATTTTCATTATTTTTCCATATAAGCGCTGATTTTTCTAACTTCGACGGCTTGTAAGGAATTTTCCTTTTGAGGGATGATAAAGCATCCCTTGAGCAAGCATCCCTCCAAGTTTGAACGTGAAACACCATCTAGGAGTCTAAAGAAAAAATAAGAAAATATGAAATTTTCATTATTTTTCCATATAAGCGTTGATTTTCCTAAGTTCGACGGCTTGTAAGGAATTTTCCTTTTGAGGGATGATAAAGCATCCCTTGAGCAAGCATCCCTCCAAATTTGAACGTGAAACACCATCTAGGAGGAGTCTTAATAAAAAATAAGAAAATATGAAATTTTCATTATTTTTACATATAAGCGCTGATTTTCCTAAGTTCGACGGCTTGTAAGGAATTTTCCTTTTGAGGGAAGATAAAGCATCCCTTGAGCAAGCATTCCTCCAAATTTGAACGTGAAACACCATCTAGGAGTCTGAAGAAAAGATAGGAAAATATGAAATTTTCATTATTTTTCCATATAAGCGCTGATTTTTCTAAATTCGATGGCTTGTAAGGAATTTTCCTTTTGAGGGATGATAAAGCATCCCTTGAGCAAGCATTCCTCCAAATTTGAACGTGAAACACCATCTAGGAGTCTGAAGAAAAGATAAGAAAATATGAAATTTTCATTATTTTTCCATATAAGCGCTGATTTTCCTAAGTTCGACGGCTTGTAAGGAATTTTCCTTTTGAGGGATGATAAAGCATCCCTTGAGCAAGCATCCCTCCAAATTTGAACGTGAAACACCATCTAGGAGTCTAAAGAAAAAATAAGAAAATATGAAATTTTCATTATTTTTCCATATAAGCGCTGATTTTCCTAAGTTCGACGGCTTGTAAGGAATTTTCCTTTTGAGGGATGATAAAGCATCCCTCGAGCAAGCATCCCTCCAAATTTGAACGTGAAACACCATCTAGGAGTCTGAAGAAAAAATAGGAAAATATGAAATTTTCATTATTTTTCCATATAAGCGCTGATTTTCCTAAGTTCGACGGCTTGTAAGGAATTTTCCTTTTGAGGGATGATAAAGCATCCCTTGAGCAAGCATCCCTCCAAATTTGAACGTGAAACACCATTTTTTTAACTTTTTACTTTGGCGTGCTGGAGCGGCGTGTTAACTTCACACCGGTAAAGATCTTGGGGTATGGATGGAGAGTGATCTATCCTTTACCACACATATTGAAAAAATCACTAATAAAGCAATGAGATTGCTGGGGTTTGTCTTTCGGACTCTGAGAGAGATAGAGAATATATTTTTTTCTTGAAGGATGTCTTTTGTGCATTGGTTCGTTCAGTGCTAGAGTATGCCAGTTCAGTTTGGCAACCCTTCTATTGTGTTCATAAGGAAAGCTTGGAGAGAGTGCAACGAAAATTTTTGAGAAGGGTGGGACTTAAGATGGGCATGGTTCTTAATAATTTAATTGAGGCGCCAGAACTTCTTGCGGAGGTTGGCTTCCACATTCCTGCTAGAAATTCGAGAAATAAGAATCTATTTAGCATATCATTTCATCAAACTAATTATGGTACTAACACGCCGATAAATCGAATGTGTAAAATTGCTAATTTTGTGATGCAAGAAAATAATAGCATTGATTTTTTTAATTGTAGTTACAATGTTTTCCGTAAGCAGGTTAAGGAACTTCTGTATGCTTGATCTTCGGCTTGTTGTCTGTTTGTCTTTTTAATTTTTTAAGTGTGTTGATTTATTGATAATTTTATAATGTGAATATGTTATTTTGTATTTTAAACCGCCATCTTTTGTTCTTTTGATTTAAATTGATTTTAACTGATTTTATAATTGTTTTACTTGTGATATGACATTATTTATTATTTTTTTTATATACTATTGTAATTGCTATATGCGTAAATAAAGATTTTGATTTTGATTTCTTTTGACTAGTTTATTTTTAAGTTTTGTAACTTTGCAATTTTTTGTTCAATTAATTTGAATCTTCAGTATGTTTTCAGCAAAATGTAAAATTTGTACGTAGAATCCGAAATTTGTATACACAGTGGATCTTAAACCGTTCTTGGGATGGTTTTTTGAGAGGTTGGATTAGGGTTGGCAAATGACCGGTCAAATATCTTTCGTTTAATTGATCTACACCATTTCAACCTCAATTTCGGAAAAAGTAACTTTTATTTAGGAAAATGTAAAGTAATTTTCGGAAAAAGTCAAATCAATTTCAGAAAAAGTAAAGTTAATTTCGGAAAAAGTAAATTCAAATTCGGAAAATGTAAATTCAAATTCAGAAAAAGTGAATTCAAATTCGGAAAAAATACTTTCAGTAATGTTATTTTTTATAGAATAATTTGAATAGATTGAGTCATTTATCTATTAAGAAAATCAAAAAATTTATCCATATTTCTCAAAGAGACCCGATTTTTAAACAATAAAAGAAAAAAGAAAGAAAAAAATTACCAAGTCTCCAGATTGTTTATTATTTTATTCACTTAATAGTGACATGTGTTTCACTCATATGAACATCATCAGACCTACAAAATAATATACATATGTAATAATGTACATAGAACCAATATACAATATGTACATAGAACCAAATTAAAGTACAATGATTGGAATCGAACCCGACTGGAGGTTTATAGTCACTGCTAAATTTACTTTTTATCAATTCGAATTATTCTAAAAAATAACATTACTTTCTCCGTAATTGAATTTACTTTTTCCGAATTTGAATTTACTTTTTCCGAATTTGAATTTACTTTTTCCGAATTTGAATTTACTTTTTTCAAAATTAAATTTACTTTTTCTGAAATTGATTTGACTTTTTCCGAAAATGACTTTACATTTTCCTAAATAGAAGTTACTTTTTCCGAAATTGAGGTTGAAATGGTGTAGTATTTGACCGGTCTTTTGTCAAATTGCTCCGGGCAAATACTCCAGTAGTGGGGAGCGTGATGCCATGAGGATAACATTATTGCCATCAATTATTCCTGGTCTAGCCGCCAGGTAGTACATAACAAGGGCAAATACTCAAAGAAAGAGATAGGCTAGACAAGATTTTCGATTGTTTATTTTGAAATATTAACCTGAAACTCCTGAAAGTTACATTTTCAAGTCTGGTTTATTCACCTTCTGATAAACTCTCAGGTATGCAATATAGATAAAAACGCAATCTGTAATCCCATTGGTCGGCAAATTATCCGCTGACCACCAATAGAATTATAGAACGGTACATTTATCAAGCATCAGATAGATAGCAACAAGTTTATCTGAAGATGAATAAACCAAGCCTTAGTGGTTTTGTTTTTCTTTCCATAAAAAAAAGTGTTTATTTTGTCCTTTTTACCAAAGGAAAGAAGTTTTGTTTGTTTCATTTTCTAGAGAAAAATTTTGCTCTATTTTTTTATGCAATAAACTATTGCTTTTGAAGATAATTTTTTTTAATTTGTCAAATATTCTAGCATCGGTCAAATGGACCGTCAATTGACAATTTTTGACTGGTCAATTGACCGAGGTCCATCCGTACTTACCACACACAAAATCGCATGGTAAACGTTATGTTACCATACAGTTGTAGATAAGAAACTTATTATTCATCGGGTACTTACCGAATCCGCAACGGCCTACAGGTAAGGCTTTAACTTGAATGGGCGAAGGCTTTTCGAATCCCGCCGCAGCGAGGCCCTTTAAAGTTTCCGGAGGTAAAATTAATGAATTGAACGAAAGGTTTTCTGATAAAATAACATCTTGGCTACGTTGTTTGGACGTCAACGAGTGCGCTAACATTTTTGTTTGGTCCATTTTAGAAATAAATAGTTTATAAACAATAAATAAACAAAACAAGAAAGGTGAGGTTATGTGGTGGCAAGGATGATGTGGGGGGACAAGTCTTCTTCTTTTTTTTGTCAAATGGCCTTGGGAAACAGTGTTGCCAGAGGTGGTACAATTATACCAGATTTGGTAAAATCAGGAGGTAAATTAAGACTGCACAAAATCAAAGAACTTTTTTACTGGGGAACAAGTACAAAAATATACTTGTATTTGACCTAAGTACTAATCCAAACATTGGTACTTGTACTCTTGTACTTGCAATTTCAAGTTTTTCAAATTTTACTTGTACTTGATAAAATTTATTTGACGACTGATTTTGTCTATTCATCGCGTGACGTCATAAACACAGGCAAAAACTACAAAATCTATTTAAACTGACGCAATACGCAGCAATAGGTGCGAGAATGCAAAAACAATACGATAATGTCGATATAATAGGTAGCTCTGTTCCAACCGACTCTGGAACGGTTCTCATGTCGGTTGGAACAAAGATATTATAATATATGTAGCAAGAATCAGAAAACGCACACCAACGCCGGCTGTCGAACTCAGTTTGTGCATATGACGTCACAGTGCTAGGAGTGGGAACTCTATATAACGGTCTCTTCCCAACGGTTGGTCGGTAATCTTAGATTTACACCATATCATCACGAGATTACTCCAGAAATGTCAACTTACGCTCATGAGAACTCGCCCTCAATACAACTTGACTGACTTTCGTAGAATTTGGCAGTGATGTGCCCGTAGACAAGTCAAGGTAAACAATTGATTGTCTACGCGTAGACAATTCGAATTGTTTACGTGAGCATTTGTCTACACATTGTCTACATACGACGTAAACAATAACTAATTTTAAAAAATTTAAAAAAGAATATCAAAAGTTACTATACTATCACTATTACTTCGATATTAGCATTCACTGATTATAAAATATCAGAAAAACCAATAATAAAATAAAAATAATTAAAAAAAAGGAAAGTGTGAGGTCATTTATACTAATTTACATTGTTGACACATTTGTCTACATTATCTACACGTAAAGTAGACAATTGAAAGTCTACCTGTAGACGCACATCCCTGGAATTTGGTACTTGTAAGTTGTAATTGACTTTGGACAATTCAAGTCAATTTACTTGATATTTTGAATTTCCTTCTTTACTTATAGTTGTACTGGTACTTGATTGTACTTTACTTAAGTACTTTTTCTTGGTACTTTACAACAGCTCTGTTCACTATCATGATGTTAAAAACTGGTGCCGAAAATGCGACATCTGTGCTACCAGTAAAGGCCCTAAACTAAGATCTCGGGTAGGCCCATGACAGCTAGGACCGGACTCATGAGGATTTTGTAAATCAGATATGCCCCAAACACCAATTATCTTTAATAAGTCTATTGTTAACATTGAATAACCGACAAGGGCGCCGGGTTTCAGAAAACCTCGTGGGTGCTGGGCCGAGTTTAGAAATAACGCACAGGGTGCGAGTGTGATTTTATGGGTGTGCCTGAATTGACAATTGGCCATTGGGCCCATAGCACCGTCTAGCATTTTTGAACAACTAGGGCGTCGCACCAGTGTCACACTCACACTGGGTGTGTCATTCCTGAACTCGCCCCTGATGTTCATGCACCGGCATTTATGAGGGGGGGGTGAACAGCCCGCCGGTGACGAAAAAACTTCTCCAGAAGCCACGCCCAAAAACGTTTACCAGCATTCTTTAATTTACATTCGGACGAGTGTTTGAGAAAGGAATGGTAATACATTTCAAACAACGTAGTTCACACCTTTCCATATTCGTTTTCCAGCTGCGGGAACTAGTGCTGCTTGGTGCTTGCGTAAGTTTTTTTGCGGTGTCTGCCAGTGTTGCCAACTTGGTAAAATGATTACCAGATCTGGTAATATCGACCCTGGTTTTAGTAATGAAGATTTTCAAAATATATCTAGTAATATTTCCAGGGATGTGCGTCTACACGTAGACTTTAATTGTCTACTTTACGTGTAGACAATGGTAGACAACGTGTCAACAATGTAAAATAATATAAATGACGTCTAATTCTAACCTCACACTTTCCTTTCCGAAAATTATTTCTATTTTATTATCAATTTTCCTCATATTTATAATCAGTGAATGCTGATATCAAAATGATAGGGTTTAGCTACTTGGGTAGTAGTAGTTTTGGATCTTTTTTTGAATTTTCTAAAATGGGTTTATTGTTTACGCCACATGTAGACAATTGTGTAGACAAATGCCCACGTAAACAATTCGAATTGTCTACGCGTAGACAATCAATTGTTTACGTTGAGTCTACAGGCACATCACTGAATATTTCTGGTAATTTGACATTTCATTCCAGCAAAATTCTGGTATTTTCGCATTAGCAATCAATAATCCATTTATCTTGAATTTATGGCCGTTTGCACCGTCAATTTTAAGGGAGGTTTAACGATAATCAACGCTTATCTATTAGGGCCGGTTTATTCACCTACTGATAAACTGTCAGGTATGCAATCTGAATCTGACCCACCCATATAAAAAGGAAATTTGTTATTTGATTATAGAACGGTGCACTTATCTTGCAGATAGTTACCAAGGAGCTTATCTGAAAATGAACAAACCGGGCCTAAGTATGTTTACCAATATCTGTAATGTTATGTTATACAGAATGGATTTTTTTTACAATAATGTTTTGGTTATAAGTATCCTGTGTATAGGTATATTAGGTATGCAGTGTTATTTTATCTGAATAAGTTTTATTTTTCCGTAGGTACTAGATATTGTTGTTGTTGCATTTTTATTTTAAACCTAACGAAAAAAAACCAAAAAAAAACTTAAAATAAATAATTGAAATCTATAAATTTTAGCACAATTTTTGTTTAGCAACAAAGACCTAGTAATATTCTGGTATTGGCAGGATTGAGAAAAATCTAGTAATATTCTGGTATTCCAAGTTTTATAATCTGGTAAAATGGCCATTCATATAGTTGGCAACACTGGTGTCTGCTAAAATTGGAAAAAAAGGACGACTATATAAGGGTAAAGACTAAAGAGTAGAGTGTTTTCACAGCTATCAGAACAATACCCACTTCTACCACGTAAAAGCCCCCCTCCAGCATAGCTATCATAGCCCACCATTAATCTATTTTCAAAAGGCGCCGTCGATCTAGAGATTTTCCCACGGTATCGAAAAACTTCCTAGGCTCAAGTGCCCCCAGCTATCAGACTAGCAGATTCACAAGCAAAATATTTATTATTGCAATAAAATTAATACCCACCTCACAGCTTATCAGAGCAATACCCACCTCCACTACGTCAAAAAGCTTCTACTCTGAAGAGGTACCTCTTTCCATATCCCTTCACTTTCTTGAAAACTAAAGAATATTTCAACAATTCCTGCATTTGTATTCGTCAATAGTGTTCTAAACTTCATTGCAATAATAACATTTTGCTTGTGAATCTGGTGAACCACTTACGTAGTAGAAGTGGGTATTGGTCTGATAGCCGGGGGCACTTGAGCCTGGGAAGTTTTTCGATACCGTGGGAAAATCTCTAGATCGACGGCGCTTTTGATCTGAAATTTTGGAGATTTGACCCGGGCTAACCCCAAAATTGACGAATTCGAATACAAATGAAAGAATTGATTAAATATTCTTTAGTTTTCAAAAAAGTGAAGGGATATAATAAAGTGCCATCTCAGGGTAGAAGCCTTTTGAAAATAGATTAATGGAGGGCTTTACGGAAGAGGGTTTATAGTGCAGGTGGGTGAAAAGTGCCTTCTCAGGGTAGGAGCTTCACGGAAGAGGGTACAGTGGAGGTGGGTAAAGTCCACCTTACGAGTCTAGCACTACGACGTCTGAGGAGTAAGGAAACATAACGCCATTCATTTCGAGCTTTATGCTGCCTGTCATAGACGAGCGTGCAACGTTTTTGAATATTATTTTTTCCTTACAAATGTAGGTGTATAATATAAATAAATATCAAGGTATTTCTTATTGGAAGTCATATAGGCAATATTGCAATTTTTTTATCCGCATTCTTTCCATAGTGCTAGACTCGTGAGGCGAACTTTAGTGGTATGATGGCCGTGCAAGAGGGGAGTTTTTACGTGGTAGAGGTGGGTATTGGTCTGATAGCTGTGAAAACACTCTACTGTAAAGTGTGGAAAACTCTCCTGCAGATATTCTTTTACCCAAGCAGCATGTACCGAAAATCTGCGTTTTACGCTGTTCTTCATAAAAGATTTCAGATTTTTTTCATCTTTTTCTTCTTCTAAACAAAGTACCACCGTGTTCTGATATCAACTGCCAGTACTGGATTTACTGTGCTGATGTTACTGTCATTTGCCGTTCCAATTTCAACAGGGTACTCTTATGGTCATTCAGTACTGAATCAACTGAATTCAGTGTACCTACTGGAAATAATATCGGCACGGCGTCCAGTAAATTCAGTACTGACAGAGTTAATATCGGAACATAACCTATATAAGGCTATGGTCAAAATATAACCAAACGTTAACCATTAGCTGTGCTCCAACAGACATGAGAACCGTTCCAGAACCAATAATTTCCAGTTGCTCACCGATTTTTCAATAAGTTGAACATTTTTCCTAATTGACAAATGGATTGATCGACTGGAAATTACCGTTCTAGAAAGGTTTTTATGTCTGCTGGAACAGAGCTAAAGTAATCGACGAGGTCATCAGATGTTTACTGAAAATTCCGGTTATTTTGGGGAACGCAAATATGGAAATAATACATAATTGACAGAAGTTACAGATAAAACCTTGATAAAACCAACAGAACCGACATGCGATGGCCGGTAACTATTTTGACATTTGGTTAACCAGATTTCAGGAACCCGAGGTAAAAAATTAACCAGTTTTCCAGGAACTAGAAAGGATTATCAGTTTTTAAGTCTCTGCTCGTGGGTGCTTCGTGGGTGCTTCGCACCCACTGTTTAGGTCTCGTGGGTGCTCGAGCCTCCGAGCACCCACGTAGTCGGCGCCCCTGATAACCGATGAATATAGTTAAAGATTTTTCGCTTGAGTATTATGCATTTGTGGTTTGGGAGCGTAGTTTGGGAGTCATGAAGAAGTTACTGTTTTATTGGTTTGTAAAATGTGATTCAAGAAAAACTGTTAAGGCCGGTTTAGCCACCTAACAATTCACAATGTACAGAATCCAACTTTGAATCTAGAAAAAACTGCTTTATTCTCGTGTTTATTCTGGATTCTACACGAATGGATTGCAGATATATAAAGGCCGGTATTAGTTAACGTATCTATTCTACTCATGCGCAGATCGATGCGGATACGGATACATTTGAAATTTAGGACCTGCTTAAAATGTCTAATAATCAGCCTGTACTTGATGTGAAAGTGTTTGAACACGGTGGGTAGGACACGGTCCAGGTGGATGAGAACTTGGACCAAGTTGACAGCCAGCTTACTTGGATGTTAGGACACATCCAACTGGATTTGGAGTTGATGATATCCAAGTATCATCCAAGGGTACTTGATCCAAGTACACTCATTGGACTGTGTTAATCTGGCTTTGGACAAAGTGTAAACTAGACTAAACTTGAAGTACAACTATAAAAATAATAATAAAATTGTTTGCCATTCTATTGGTAGCTACAGGTAAGTAGTAAAGTATGTATAGAGATAAAATATAAATTGCAAAGAGGGAACAGAGAGAAAATAAAAACAAAATGTTTATAAAAAAAATTATTTATTAAGCACAATAAATATCAATATTAATTCAATCAATAATAATAATAATAATTATGGACAAACGAAATCTGCGAACCAAAAATTCCTCGATGAAGACATTTTGTCGCTTTATGTGATTCAATTAGGAAATCCGTCATGGGTGCGAAAGACTTTGTATAACCAAAACAAACAAGACAAGGTATATTGGAACTTAGTAGCGAAACGACATGAACCCTTATCACTAGCCTTTTTGGGAAAAATTCGCAGTTTTAGAATCCAATCCCAGCTGCACACACACACAAAAAAAATTGTCTTTTTGGTGGGCGAAGAGGTAGGTAGGAGGAAAAATCTTTTAGATATTTGCCAAAACGGCCATGCTATTTTTGCAGTCGATCGATTTCCGGGTGGCGTCAGCGAACGCCAATGAAAAAGGCTCTAGGAACCCGAGACAGTCTTCTTCGGTACGAAAGGCCAACTCTTTCGTTACGAAGTCCAGGCCGATGGTTTGACGGTAGCTAAACACAGAAAAAGGGATTTTTAGCGGATACGATTTCGCCCCCCTTTCAAAAGGGGGCGAATGTGCCTTAAATAATTTATAATGGGAACATAATTTTAAAAGGTGTCACACCCTTTATTTTCCAAACAATGAATAACTGTTAACAATTCACAAATAAAAACTTTTATCAGGAAATATTTGCTTTGATAGTTGAGCCATTTGGATTTTGTGTCAATTGAAGGTTTCTCTGAGGGAAAATTGCTTTGTATAGATGTGGAGCTTCAAAAAGTGTATTTTCAGTCAATAATTCCTCCAGTAATTTTGAGATGTCAGAGTATTTCCAATATTCTGCTTTGTTTTCTCTTAATAAATCTGTAATGCCAAGAACATCATCCAATATTTCTTCTTTCAATATAGTGGTTTTAGTCTTTCATTAGACGCTTCTACAAACAAATTTGGTGCAAATATTCATGTTTTTAAACTTCTCAATGGCTTCTTTTTAACTGCCAATTTCAATTACATCATCTGCTTCTTTTTTAGTTCTCACAGTTACAATCAGTGGGTTAGTATTATCAATTTTGCCTCAAAGATGGTCAAAATAAGTCCTATGGAAAACATAATTGATTGACTTGATATACGGCAGCAAGGCAAGGTTTAGTGATTCCCTGACACTGCAGCTAGTTAGCTTATATTTTTTGCTGTGTAATTTTCTGCTAAAATAGGTGTGACACCTTTCCCAGGTGCATTCAGGGAACCCTTCTCGTGAACAGGTTCCCCCTCAAAAAAGTGTTGAGTCGTCTATAAGACATGAGAGGCTGATTCTTGGTTTTCGTTGTAATCTACAGATGGGTTCTTCTTTATAAGTGTTTTCTCAATGTACAGTGTTCACAATTCTTATCTGATTTCTTGTGAGCTTTAGGATCTCGGAGGCTAATCTTGCAGTAGGATATTTCGCCATTGCCTTGATGTTTGATACAAGTGGTTTTTGTGTTCCTCTCAAATCCACTTTTTTAAGCAGCACATATTGAGGTTTCTGATATTCTGAATAAGGTTTCAAGGCCCATAAACTGCCTTTCTGATTCTTGCTTGGCTTATGGAAATATTTTCCATCTTCTGAAATACTTTTCTTCACTATCTTTGGGTCACTTCATTTACATTTTCAGCATCTCCTTTAGTTTTCACAGTTATCAATTGTGCATCCTAGATGGCCAGAGTAAGTCCTATGGAAAACTTAATACTTAATATTTCATATTTTCCATCCTTTGAGATACTTGTTAATACTTTTCTTCAATTGCCTTTTTCCTCATCATCTTTGAGCGATTTCCATTTTCTGCATTTCTTTTAGAACTCACAGTAGGTTTTTGTTATCAATTGTGCCTCTAAGATAGTCAGAATGAGTTTCATGGAAAGCCTTGTCAAAAGGAAAACTTAATACTTGAAAGTACTCAGAGTTTAAGTTGGATCACTCCACAACCTTCTACAAACTAGTTTAATCTATTCCAGAAGCTGTTGATACATCCAAAGTCCTGAAGGAAGAGGAAGAGCGAAGATTCTCCATGGGATTTTTTATTAGTGTAGTTGTTGTTAACACAAACATCTTCTTGACATCTTTTCAAATTTCACAACATATCACTGTTAATCAATTTTGGCAGCATTAACTTTGCTGTAGAAGTCATTTTTCTTAGGCAATTTCCACTGAAGCAAGGTTCCTTGAAGATATATTTCAGTAGTCCATTTCATTTGGTCTTGAAGTCTTTTCATTGTTTTCTATTTCAATGTAGCACTATATTTTTCCGGAAGCATGTTCTGAGACATTAAACAATGGTCCAGGAATTGATTAATCTAACTATTTGTGATTCCCTATTTAGATCTATAGAGATATGGAAATTGTTGAAGCCAAGTAGTCCTACGTCACTCTTCTTTTTTCCAAATCTGTTGCAATTTGAATTGACATCAGGGCCTCACTTCTAGTGCGTTATATTCCAACAAATTGCCTGGTTTTTCTCTCATCAAACAAATTTGGCAAATTCGCTGATGATTTTTTAAATTGCATCTTCTTCTTTCATCTTTTTCAGCAAATAATTCTGTCTTTAGGTATTCACAATTCCTGCTTCATAGCATCTGATCCAGTATCAATGTAACAAACAAAACCCAAACAATTCAACAACCAAATTAATGCAATATATCCTGCATCGGTAACTAGGAAATTATTGAAGGCACATTTACAATTAAAAATAAAAACAACATACATACATGTGTAAAATCACTGAAAGAGAACTGTTGTTGTTAAAGTAAACATGGGCACAAGAAATCCCACAAAGAAAAATCGTCTCATTGAATAATTTTACCTACCTTTTGATAATACACTTAAGGTATTCTTTACGCTCCCTTTCAACGAACCACTCCATTAAAAATCCGGTCATTAACGGTGCCATGTGGTACAGAGCGAAAAATTTGTGAAAATTACCTGCGCCCCAAGCCGAACGTACTTTTAACGCGAACGATATCACCGAATCAAGCTTTTCTTCTTTGGACAATGATTTCAATATGGTCATTATGTCTAAAATTAAAAAAAAAATTAATAAAGCTTTACTACCAATAATAATAATAAGTCCTTACCCAAGGTGTTTTTGGTAAAAATATAATACAAAATTCTATAGGCGGTGAACTCGTTACAATTTTGACCACCTGTTTCACTGTATAAATGTTTCAATTGGGTCTGACACTGATTAAACTCTTCGTGATCGCCTTTTTCTAAAGCAATACGCGCATGAGTTTCATAAACTTGTACTGTGAACTCATTTCTAACACCTTGAACCTACAATTCGTTCAATAATAAATTTATTTGATTCAATTTGATTGAAAAATTCCTTACGGTTAAATCCTGTCGAATGCTCTTTAGCTGATCGCATGCGTAAAAGTAGTCTTGTTTTTGTAGCCACTTTTCTTTGACGTTTTCCAAGGAAATACGTAAAACTTCAACGGGGCGAACGTCGCAGGCTTCGGGCGCTTTTGTGAGGCGCAAAAACGATTTTTCAACGTCTCGACAGGTGCCTTTTATGTGCATGCTGGACCAATCAAAGTCCGATCCGTTCTGGTCAGTCGAATTGTCCATGGAGATGAATCTCGACGTTAGAGGAGAATTGGTTGATCTAAAAGCAACATAATTAATTATTTAGGATTATATTTAAACAATTATTATAAATGATCTGAAAGAGCATGAAATTCTGTATTAAATAAGCAAAGTTTCTTATATACAGTCTCTGAGTTGGTTTGGTTTTCGTCAAAATTTTGCTCAAAACATCAAAATCAATTTTCTTAAAAACCATCTGAAGTTTAAAATTCCTAAAGCATTTGATAGGAGCTATATTATGCCTAATGCCAAATGCTATAAATAGGAACTATTATTATAATAATTTAAAATGTTCTTACTTTGACGCTTGAGTAAATCTAGCAGCTCTCTGTTGCAGCAACTCAGAATTCTCTTCCACATCCTGTCCGAAAGTCTGATAAAAAGCCGCCTTCTTCTCTTTGACCTTCTGTTTTTTGGCCGCCTTCTTGCCCTGCTTCTGGGGCCCCAGCCTGTTAGCTAGCTTACCTTTTTTGTTTTGCTGTTGGGGCTGCGGCTTTATAACCGGCTTGAAATCCTCTTCACTAGTAACACTGCTAGAACTATAAAACACACATTATATATAAACAAAATTATACACAAACAAAAAAAATATTTACCTAGAATGTTTATGTTTTCTAGGGCTTCTCCCTCTTCTAGGGCTTCGCGATTTCGACCTACTAGAGTCTCGCGCTGCTTGGCGAAAAGCTTTTCTGCCCCCTAGACGCGCCCCCAAAGCCGGAGACAAGCCTTTTTTGCCTCCCTGTTGAAACTGAGCCAACGTTCCTTGTTTGATGTTGGGCTGACCTGTAAATTGTGACGTTTCCGAATACAGTTTGGGTATCGGTTCTTTCGACCAATCTCTTTTGTCTAGGCCAACTGCATAAGCTTGGGTTATTTTACCTTTGAGAATTATTTCAACCTAAAATATTTCTACTTAATACGAAGTTTTTAATAAAAATTGACAATTGTTACCTGATTTTTATCGAAAGTAGTTTTACATTTCTCATAACACTTGTTAACGTATTCCTGTAATGATGCTGGCCAATCATTGGTAGCCTGAGCACCAATAGCTAGTAAATGAGATGAATTATTTTCGCTATTAGTAGTGGTTGAATCTGGAGGTAAAGGGGGTAAAATTTCCGGAGGAGGTTCAGGTTTGGGGATGTTATTGACATCATTTTGGGGTGGTAAAGGAGGCGGTGGAGTACTAAATTGATTCTGATTGAATTGATTAATAAAATGATTCTGTTGCTGCTGCTGCTGATTTTGATTGTTATTTCTGTTCTTCTTGCGTTTCTTTTTCGCAGCCCCGCTGTTAGGAGAACCCGCTTGCATCATGGCATTCTGATTTGGCAAACGCTTACCGTTGATGTGAAATCTTATCGGTTTGTTGGCGTAGGGACTGCTAAAGTTAGCACGCGGATTTTGATTGGCACCAGGCAAAGGGGGTTGAACTTTGGAGTTGTTAAAGTAAGGAGCGGTCCAGTTGGAGTAGAAATTCTCCACGCCACCGTAGTTTGGCATGAAACCGTACGAATTGTAGTAGGGCCAAGCGGTTTGATTCCAAGCTGGGGGATTTTCTGGAGGAGTAGGAACATTTTCTGGAGCTTTTTCTTGTTGAGGGGGTGTTGGCGGCAATGGGGGCTTGTCGTCCGGAGGCAGAGGGGGCGGAGAAATTCCAGGGGGTGGCGGAATTAACGCCACGTCATCGGTATCTGCCATATTGAGCTAAAAAGAACCTAAAAATTGATTTTGTAGTTTTAGCACAAATTGTAGATATGTATGGGGAGCAACTCTGTTCGTGACTTATTAGTTTAAACAAACAAAATAAAGAATAAAATAATTTTTATTAATATAATTAATATTATTGTATCTAAATAAAATACATCTTATTAATCACCTGCAAAAATATTAAACTACAAACGAAAAAAAAAAAACTACGTAGAAAATATTATTTACAATTACAAAATAACGATTTAAAAGCGCATAATACATACATCCAATAAATTATACAAAAATGTTTCGTAAAACACAAATACAAAAAAAAAATGGTAGAGGGTTTTTAAAAAAATCTTATTATTGTACCGCTTCCTGGATTACAACAATCCCTATTACAATAATAAATAATTAAAAATCGGCTATTTAAAGAGATCCCAAATCTCAGTCTATCAATTATTGGTCTGCAATTAAAATTTTGTACAAGTCGCGCCCAATACAATATATACAAATAAAATAGTCCCTATATACAAAAAAACTCTCTATATACATAAATCTAAAATTAGCTGCTCGCTATCTGATACAACACCTTACTAATAAGTAAAGCGACCTGATCCAAAATTTGACTCATAACCAAAGCCAATAATCTAGATTCTTGCTGCATTAAAATGGCCTTATTATCGGGATGCCTCGACAAATGTACCAAAGTAGCTGCCGCTCTTCGGACCATATCCAAACTTGTACCCATCGAATCGGGATTTTCTCTAAAAGCATTAATACTGCGTTGATTGGCTATTTCTAAAGCGTTTTGTTCGGCTTGTTCGATAAATGCCACCAAAAGGGATACGCACGGAGTTTGTGAAGCCAAAACTCGTGCCAACCCACTATCAGCCGCCGATAAATAATAAAGAAGATTAATAGCGAATTCTTTTAAAACTTGATCGTCCATTTGGCACAAGTGCTTCGCTAAGACCGCACAAAGTTTTTCCAAACGAGAAAAAGGAGGTGTGGCTATTACTAAATCGATATTGTTATCGTTAACACAAAGTTTGCATAGAGTTTCCAAAGCGAGTCTTTGAGGTGAGAGCAAAGATAAAGCCCCAACAGAAGGAAAAGAATCTTGAGCTATCGCAGAAGGACAGACAGCCCAATGCAGTAGCCCATCCAACAAAGGCCTAGCGATTTCTTCATCAAAAACAGACAAATCTAAATACCCAGCAATATTGGCAATGCAAACCAATACATTTTCTCTAATTTGCAAAAGAAACTCCCACCACCATTCATTCTCGCCTTGCAAACTGCTACACGAATCTGCAAAGTCGGCATCGTCTTCCCTATCGTAATTTCGAATTTTTTGCGTTCTGAGAGGATGTTCGTGGTGTAGCAGCAATAATTTACCTACTAGCGCTAAAAAACTAATACTTTTGGCAAATTCCAGTTCATTACCGGGAATAAATGTGAGACTTCTAATAATGTTTGTTATGCAAACACATCTTTTGCCTAAATTGTCTTGGCTTTCATTTAAATGAACTAAACTAGCTTCGTCTCTGCTATAAGACTCATCTTCGTGATCCGAAAGCCGCCGTTTTTTACTAGAAGCAATAATTTTCTCCTCCTTTAACTTATCAATACTACTATTCAGATCTAGATTATTTGAGGTTACTTCCTCGCTATTTACTTCAGTCTTAACCACTTCTTTTTTAATTATTAATATCCTATTATTATCACTAATTGATTCGAGCCCTACTTTTCTACTACGTAAGTTTGTAAAAAACGGTATTCGGCCAAACTCTGCCTGAAAGTTTGGTATAATATGCTCAGCACTAGTATGAAAAGGATCAGAAGGTATTTCAGCCAAAATATTAGCCCGATTTACATCACCACGAACATCCCAATCTCTAACGTAATCCTCCACAAATAATGCATCAGGTTTTTCAACAAATTTCACTAAAGCCCCTTTGCGGGACACCAAAGAATAATCCTTAGTTTTACTTAACAATAAAGTCTTTAAATTAACATCTATTGGTTCTACACTGCCTAAATCCACTTCTTTATTTTCAGGCAAAACATCTCTTGGATAAACCCCATCAAACATGTCAGCCAAATTTTTCTTGCCCAGCTCCAAAATCAAGTCCAACAACCCTGGCCACTGATTCATTCCGAAAAACCCAACCGAAGAATCATCAAACAAAAGCACGTTCAGCATATCCAAAGCGTAAGTGGTTTCAGTTAATAATCCAGACCTCAAACACATAATCAATCGCCAAGCGTCCACTGGACCGAGATCAAACCTGGACAAGCGCTTTCTTTTATACAAAATAGGCGTAACACTTTCGACGCAATCGGGCGGGAAAATAACTTCCCTTCGCGGGCCGTAGTTTCCCATTGGTGGTGGATTAGGGCCTTTAGGTGCAACAACAGGTGGTGGCCTATACAACGGCCTGGGAGGCACTTGATTAGGCCATTGATTTTGAGGAGGATACGGCTGATTGTTTGGAGGCCAAGGAGGTCTAGGTTGACTCCATTGTTGCGGCGGAGCCTGATTATTACTCGGAAATTGCGGAGGCCTGTACTGATTATTATTAGTGTTGTAACCTCCGTAAGGCATAGGAGGCCTTGGTGGTTGTTGTTGTTGTGGCGGAGGGGGTGTGGCACCGTAAGGATAAGGTTGTTCCTTTGAAAAATCAGGATGTCTTCGCTGAGGCTGCGGCACCGGAGGTCCAGGAGGTGGGGGCATGTTTTTATTGGGAGATACTGGAGGAGGGTAATTTGCCGGAGCAGCGTTTTCGGGCCTGTAATAATCTGGATAGGCGCCGTTCGTTTGAGCAGGTGGTGGGGCATTTGGATTTGCCTGTGGCTGAGGAGGTGGGTTGTATGGAGGCCTAGGGGCGTTATTGTAGCGATTATAAGCCTCTTGAGGTGTTTGAGGAGGCGCCTGAACGTATGGTTGGCTAGAAGAAGAAGAATCTCCTGAGTAAGGCGAAGCAGGCCTCACAGGTGGCGGTGGATAATTCGCGGGATAAGACTGATTGGGAGGGCCAGGAAAAACATTTGGCCTTGGACTTGGAGCGTTGTCATCAAAGGGATTTGACACGCTTACGTTAACATTATCAGGTGCGGCAGGGCTTGAACTTCCAGGAGGCACAGTATTCAAGTGGGGTGCGTGTGGTGAAGGTGCCGACCTTGAAGAAGGCCTCGGCGGATAATCAGCATTAGATTGAGGAGGATATTCGTTAAATGCGTTGTAATTCTCCATAGAACTCCCACTGGGCATATAAGAGTCTTGAGAGTTAGAAGAGCCAGGTGAAGGGACTGAAGCAGCTTTAGCGCTCTTTTTTTTACTGGTCGACTCCACTTGGTTGATTATAGGTTGAGGATCGATGCCGCCTCTATCGAATTGACACTCGAACGGTAATACGCTTTTTGTGTAATGTTTCCTGAGAGTATACGCCGCACTGGACGAAGCCCCGATACCTAACATACCAGCGATATCTTTCCAGGTTTTAGCTTTAGTGACTTCCACAAAGCCGCCGCGTTCCTTGGTAAATATATACAAGCGAAATAAATCCAAAGGGTTTTTGGATATAGTGGGACAAGTTGTTATTGGGGTACGTCTATCTTCCATGAATTGTAAAAGTCGGTCCAGCCAAGGTCTTCTATCAGGATTATCGTCCATTTCGTACAGTTTTCCCAAACTGTCTGCCTTTTTTGAACGAAAATTTTCTTGCGGAGGTACGTGGCGATTAAATGCAGGACTGGCAGGTGCAGCGCGCTGCCAACCAGGACTATTCATTTCGCCATAATCATCGTGTTGGTGGCTGTAATGCCCCTTGGATTTTGGTGTTTGTGGACAAGCAGGATCTTCTCCAGATGCACTGGACAGCGTAGATTGCTGAGAGCCTTCATCGATAGGCGCCCCATCAGGGCCTGTAGTAACAACGGAAGTAACTGAACCAGTTGAAGTGGCAGTCACTTGAGTATTCATTTGAGGCATAGTTGTTACGCCATTATCAAGCATTTCGTTCATTACTGGAGCGTAAGAGTTTGGGGTCGAACTGGGAGGCGGCATGGAATTTTCATGCAAGTGATTGTTGGGCGACGGAGGCCACATGTGATAGTTTTGTGGACTGGGGGGTGTCGCCCCGGGCGCAACGAACCCCATCCGATGTTGCAGGTGGTGTTTGAGGTAGTGCGTCGGTCTCATATTGGTACTGGGAGGGCCGTATTGCTGCTGCTGCTGTTGATTGGGCGGTGGACCAAAATTGCCAGGCGGCCGAGGGGCGTAGCTTTGCTGACCCGGATACTGGCCTTGAGGCGGGTAAAATGGCATTTGTTGCGAATTTTGAGGAGGTACCATGCCCTTGTAATGCGGAGGCGGATAACCTCCAGGATTAGGAGGCATCGGCGAATGGCTTAACTTGTCTGGTTGCGTTCCAGATGGACGCGGCGACATAGGAATATTTTGACTGACAGCGGGCGACATGGATCTGGATCCTGTAGATCCAGTAGGCGACGGTATGGGTCGCATATTGCCGCCAGAACTGTCGTTGCTGTTGCCTGCGCTAAGATCTGCCGCTTCTGGCGTGTGTGCATTTGGAGTGGTGGGCTGTGGAGGTCTCGCGGAAAATCCTTGTTGATGTCCAGAAAATGGCTGGTGCTGGAGATGTTGTTGCTGAGGACTCGACGGCATGTGAATCCTCGCTGCCCAATTTTTGCTAATGTTGCTTTTCGTGCAAGTTTATTCTTGCATCTTCGCTGCAAAAAAAAAGGATTTTTTTTGAGCCCCACAGCTTTATGGGTTTAGAAAAGAATTCGCTCCAGATGCTTTGACAGTTGGCATTGTATTTGAAGGCGCACAAATCCATAATTGTAGAAATCTTCTTCTGAGGTTGGTCAATTAATGCTATAGTGTCGCTTTACTAAATATTAGATTTTATGTGCAGCATAGAGAAAAGTGAGATTTGAGCCCTTTATTAGGTATGCCAAACTGTCACGCATTTAGAGTGTTATTCTTTTTCATTGAAGAAGCTAAAATACTACAGTAAATTTATTACAACATTATATACACACTTTTATAATTTTTAATATTTCACACTTTAGGGAGTGACATAATATATGATTGTGTTTCTATGGGATTACCTGAAATTTGAGGCAACCAAATTAACAAACAAAAATTTATGAAATTCAACATTGGGGCTCGACCTTCAATTCAAATTTCTCTACACTGCACAATCAAAAGTTTTTGAAAATAATAACAGTTTTTTTGTTAGAATACCTTTAAAATTAGAACTTGTATGATTAAGAAACTAACTATTCCTATTCCTAAATTGTATTGCATGCGCCCAACACATGTTATTTGCCCTTCAAAAAAAATAAATAAAGAAAAAAAACATGATGCATTTATTATTATTTAAAAAATAATACACAGAAATTGGCATAGCCATCAACCCATCTGCAAGATTCTGCTGCCACATCAGTCGAGCCCTAGGAAACCATTGAATTTTGCTTTTTATGTTAGTTGCAAATGCGCAGATGCAGTGCCAACAAAGTTTGTTATAAAAATAAATAAATAAATTATACCTAATAGTGCACATTATTATTTATACTTACTTTAGCAACATAAAGGAATAAGTTTGGAAAAATAAAACCCAAAGCACAAGAGTCACTCCCCAAAATTTGTGTGTTGATACCAAAGAAAGTCATTTTGTAACACATCCATTGGCCACAAGCAGGATTTTATGTAATTTTATAAAGCACAGGGTTGAACAAAAAAAAATACCTACCTGCACCAATTTTATACCAGATTTATCAATAGTAATTTTTGTATTCAACTGTATGAAAATAATAATGCTGTTTTATATGGATATATTTTTGAAGATTTGGACCAACAAACATTTAAAATCTAATAATTGGCCAAGACAAATATTCAAAAAACCTCGTTTCTAGTCTTTAAATTCTTGATACAATGTACCATCGCGTCACCAAAAGTAACTGGGACAGCATCATATTAGCTATGAATTTTATTGTCAAACTATGAATTAAATGCATTGAAATCAATGACAGTAAAATTAGTCCAGGAGATTATTATGCATTATCTTTGTTCCAGATACTTTTGGATACGATGGTACCTATTTCCAAAATTTTTGGGAAATTGAAGGAAGTTCAGCACATTGAGAAAACTTGCTGTATCAAAGTACATTTCTAGAAAGTTTCAAATTTTCAATTACCCCTTGAGAAGTTTCACAGAAAAAAAAAATCCCAAATCAAAGTGACTTACTCATGAAAAATTCATTGATCATCTTTTAGATTTTCCTCAAAATCTGTAAACATACTTTTATATACTATATATGTTGAGGGATTTTATCGGTTACCTTCAGGACTTTGGGACAAATTTTAAGGTATTTCAGGAGCATTTTTATTTTGGGGAAACTTACCTTCTAGTGTTTTAGGATATTTGAAATCTGAATTTGAGGAGTGTAACTGGCCTAGAGAAGATGAAATGAAAAGGGCTACTAGTATTAATATTCAAAAACTCCTTTACATTTTAAATACAAGGCCAAGTTTTCAAAATTTTTGGGAAATTCAAAGAAATTTAGTGTGTATTTGTGGTTACTGATAGGCATTTTCTGCTAAGTTTCAAGGAATTTTAGTGGTATTTATTGCGGCAACAATACCAAAGCTAGAACTGCTATTCTAGGAAAATTTGGCCCTCTGTAGGGAAACTGATAAAGGTCAAATCTAAGGGAAATTTCAAGGGGTGGTTAACTACTTGAAACATGTACACAGATTTTAAATCTTCATTGATTTTGTAGGATTTTGAGAATTTTGAAAATCTTCATATGATTTTACAGGATTTTAAAAGATTTTAGGTGATTTTGGATCATTCATTTCAGGGAAGTTAGAATAGTTTTTAGAGATCCTAAAGGATTTTTAAAGATTTTAATGGATTTTTGAGGATTTTTTTATTAGGAATTTTCGAGGGAATTTTATAGGGATTTGCCGGATTTGTTTTTGTTCTAATAAAATTTTGTTAGATTTTTAAAAAATTTAAAGATTTTCAGGGATTTTAAGTAGATCTTACGAGTTTTTCTGGGATTTTGACCAACTTGTATACAAATTATCATCAATTAACTACTTCAAGCTAGTTAACTCCATAAAATGTGTACATAATTAAATCTTTATTGATTTTGTAGGATTTTGATTTTGAAAAACTTCACGTGATTTTTCATGATTTTAAAAGATTTTAGATTTATGAGATTTTAGGTTATTTTGGATCATTTTAGGGAATTTAGGAAGGGGTTTAATGGAGTTTTTACCAACTAATTTAGGGGAGCCTTAATATTAAGTATTTTTCAAACTGACATTTCTCCATAGAAGACATTCATTTTAAGGAATACTTATTATTGAAGCTACCCTAAAATAGTCGGTGGAAACGGCCATTAGAGATCCTGAGGATTTTTAGAAATTTTAATGGATTTTTGAGGATTCCAAAGGATTTTTGGAAATTTTGAATGAATTTTTGTTTAGGAATACATATTAATGATTTTATAAGATTTTGCTGGATTTTTTTTTGTTCTAATAAAATTTTGTGTGATTTTGTGAAATTTTATGCGATTTCAAGTGATTTTTAAGGGATTTTGTGAGGTTTTGTTAAATTTTGTTCAGAAGATTCTAGATTTTCAAAATTTTAGGTGATTCTAGAGCATTTTAGGGTTTTTGAAAAGTTTTTAGAGATTCTAAATTCAAATGACAAATTTGAATAGAAAAACAGAAAGTCCTAGAAATTATACCATAAATTTTCATAATACTTTTCCAAATTTCAGCATAAGATTCCATGGAAATCCACCATAAAATTCAATGGAATTCTTGTATAAAAATTTCTTGGAATTAAACTAAAAGAGAAAATTTTAAGTAATTCGAGAGAAATTATTCAGAATTTCACTAAAACTTAATTGGATTCTTCGGGATTCCGTCGAAATTTCTCGTGGTTCCATGGAAATTCTGTTTAATTCCAAGGGGATTCTTCGGGAATTCCACAATAAGATTCCAAGGAATTCCATGTATGTAATCCCACTGAAATTTTCCAAAATTCTATAGAAATTCCAAATTCCATAATTTTTTTAAAACTTCACGGAAATTCCCCTGAACTTCACCACTGAAATATCCTGGAATTCCACAAAATTTTCATAAAATTCTTCGGAATTTCATTGACATTTCATGTAATTTCTTAAAAATCCCTTGGAATTCACTAAAATTTTATGAGAATATTTTAAAATTCCTCGTTCATAGTCGAAAATATCTGGAAAGTCCAATGAAACTTCAAGGAATTTTTCAAAATTTCATTTATTTTCATTAGAATTTTTCGGAATTTCACTGAAATTCTCTTTTAATAGCCAGGAATTTCTGGGAATATTGATGTCAAGTAATTTCTTGAAAATTTGCCGAAATATATTGAAATTTCATGACATTACATTAGAATTTTTCGGAATATCACCGAAATTCCATGTTTTTAGCTGGAAATTGTTCGGCATTCCACTTGTGAAATTTTCTAGAATTTTACTAAAATTCAATAAGAACCGAAATTTCATGTTGGGAAATTTGGTGCAATTTCATATAATTATTTAGAGTTCCTCCATGCAGTTCATTCGGGATTTCGTGTAATTCCGTTTCACTGAAATTTCATGTAATTTAAGAGGAACTAAAATTTAATGTGAATTCTATGGAAACTGCAAAAATTTTACATGCGTAATTCCTTTTTCAGAATAACATAATTCTACCGAAATTTCTCGAAATTCCACCAAGTTGTGGAATTCTGAGAGACTTTAACCTTTAACAGATTTTTGGGGATTCCAAAGGATTTTTGAAAATTTCAAAGGAAACATTTTTTAGGAATGTTAATGATTTTATGAGATTTTGCAGGATTTTTTTGGTTTTAATGAAATTTTGTTAGATTTTGTAGGATTTTATGCAATTTCAAGAGTTTTTGTGGGGTTTTGTTAAATTTTTAAGGATTTCAAAGATTTTGACAAACTTGTACACGGATTTTGACCAGTTAACCACCCCTCGGGAAATTTCAAATAGTCTTTAACACTTTAAGAGTTTTCAATTAAATATTCAACAGAAAAGACTTTTGAGATTTTGTTTTTAGTTTACTGTTAAAAGGCAAAAGGGTATCAACTATCAATGACAAGAACTATTGAAGTATATTTCTTCAATTTCTTCAAATCTGCAACTTTTCCTAAAGATGTTTTACACAACCTTATATAGAGATACCTGGTATCTTAGAGCTTAGAGCAGGTAAAGATAAAGAGGAGTAGTAACCTGGATTTGGAAAATGAAGCCGTTTTTTTCCAGGTATTTTGGCACCAAGAAAATGGCGCTTATGGCAATTCAATGCTTTACCTGTATCTTGGTGCCAAACACCTGCCAAAAATTTGGCTTCACTTTAGTTTCATAAGCAGAATGGCGCGTTCCTACTCTTTATGTCCATAGTACAGCGCTTTCCTGCTCAAGCGTGGTATTAATTCAATATCGTTCCAGCCGTTCTTGAATTTAAAAAATAATAAAGTTACGTCGGTTGAATGCAAGCCTAAATAAATGAAATATGGCAACGTTGTTTCATGCTGTCAAAAAAAGTTGGGTTATGTTATGTGAATGAGTTAGTTTACAATTAAATTAATAATTAATTCA